ACAGACATAGAGACAGACATAGAGACAGACATAGAGACAGACATAGAGACAGACATAGAGACAGACAGACATAAAGACAGACATAGAGACAGACAGAAGTGGGTCTCTGTGTCAGTGGACCTGGTTCCACACTCACCGGTTCCATGGACCGGTTAGACTCGCCCGCTCCTGCCCCGGATGGAGCGCGGTGGGCCGGGCAGAGAGGCCGCGGAGGGGCGGGACAGGTGCGGCTACAAGAGGAGGATGAGCGGCTCAGCGGGTGTTTCACCGTGAGGACGGAAGTTCACCGCAAGTTTGATTCTGCTCCGTCGTCGTCTCATGTTTTACGATACTTCTCCCACCGGGAAACCGTTTCCGGTTGTTTTGAGCTCGCACCGTTTTTAAACCTTTAACGAACTTGAACATTTTAATTTTTTAAAAAGTTGAAACCACAGAAGCTGAGTGAAGAGTTTACTCAGCTGGAGGAAGAGATTTAAACATGGAGCAGAAGGATTGTTACCGACACCCGTTCATCCACCAGGTGAAGCTGACCACCGGCCAGAGGATCCGGGTAACTGCGCCTCCTCACACCGGGTTCACACCGGGTTCACACCGTCACATCAGCTGCTAGTTCAAAACCGGATCCATCGATAAGTATCGCGATAAACGCAGCATCATTCTCACAGTTTGTGAAACCTGAGGCCGATGAATGTGTTCAAACTCCTCCAGCTTCTGTCTCAGGATATTTAAGACTTCAATCGCTGATATCGTTTCATCCCTATTTTATTACATTTTATTAAATGTTCGTATCGTTAATATCGACAGTTATCGTGACGCGTGTCGCGTTATTACTTATTTTATGTGTAAAGATGATTTTTTGCTTCGTTTGGGAAGAGACCATTATATCGTTATAAATTGGATTTTACTTTTGATGCAATCGAATCGTTTTATCGACGTTCCCGATTTGCAAGATGACGTCCGGTTCATTCGTTGTCAAACAAAACACAAACCGGTCAAATGTCTGAGTTCGACTGGATCCAGAAATTGAACTTGTGGAAACATCTGTTGAGCTTTATTTTGGTGAAGAAGCAGACGTTCACACTCAAACGTGGCCGTCTACGCAAAGGCCTTATTTTGGGGTTCAATCCACGATATAGTCAATTTTTTTAGCAAAATCCGAGACTTTGCCGCGACATCTTAATTTTATGTGACTCATTAATCATGTCCATCAATAGAAAACTTTCCTGACGAGTGAATTAAACTTTATGTGAAACATTTTCAAGCAAAAATGCAAAATATTTAATGCTTTTATCTGTTTGATGTAAATTCAATTTATGTTTTGGAGGAAAATAACAAATCAGACTAAATCTGGCAGGAAAATGAAAAAGCAGTTGATTAAAAGCAGAATCTGCTCCTGAATTCTTCATGAAGAGAATCAGCTGCAGCCAAAGTTTTAAATAAACTAAAGCTGCAAAGATGATTTGATCAACAGAAAATCAACCAACTATATTTATCAGAACACTTTTTCAGTCCTGCTACAGAAACCAGAACAACTGCAGAATAAATGCAAATGATTCATGTTTGCATTTCAGAAAGTGGTTGAACGTATAGGGGAGAACTTGCAAGGAGCCAAAACACACAATCCAGACACACCCGTCACTAATATTTGGCTGCAGGTGATATGAAGACATATGAAAACACTTCTGCTGCTGGTTTCTGTCACTTTTGACTTTTTAAATCTGTTCTGCAGCAACAGGTTTAAATTCTCTGCTGACGGTTATTTTAAAATGTCCCTTTGTGTTGCTGGAGTGAGCTTCAGGTCATCGTCCTGCCGAAAGACTCCAGAACCTCTTGAAGGGCATTTTAACTAGTTTGTTAAATAGACAAAACCCTCAAATAATCAAATAATTACCAAACTATTTGATTCATGATAATTAGACGGATGCAGCCTGAGTTTAAGTTCCACAACAAAGTTTTTCACAGCTGTGACTGTTGAGCCTAAAAAAACCAGACGGGTCATGAAAGTTTCAGACGTGCAGAACGTGTTTGATAGAAAAATAATAACTTATAAATAACTCTGTGACAGACACGCCGGTGATGCCTTCAGGATAATTGGAAATATTCTTTTTTCCGCATTCCAGATGTGGCAGATGTAAACAAAAACCCATTCAACCTTCCAGACTGATGTTCAGGGACAGAAACCCGACAGAGATCACGACACGTGTTAAAAAAAAGTGTTCGCCAGCTTTGAGAAGTTGATAAAGAGTTGAACTGAATAAATTCCCCATAAATCATAACGGCTTTGTAAATGTAAATAAAGTTTGAGATGCTCGGGTGATAGTGTTTGATGGTTTCATGTTTGATGCTTCTTCCTCAGGGCGTCATCCTGGGCAGCCTCCTCTTCCCCGTGCGCGTCACACTGGCGGCCCTTCTGTTCCTCGTCGCCTGGCCTCTGGCTCGGCTACGGCTGGCCGGCCTGTCCGAGGAGGAGCGAGCCCGGCCCGTCACGGGCTGGCGCCGCTGGCTCATCCACCCCATCATCTTGCTGCTGAGCAGAGCCGTCTTCTTCTCCCTGGGCTTCCTGTGGGTGAAGGTCAAAGGTCGCAGGGCCGATCTGAAGGAGGCGCCGGTGCTGGTGGTGGCGCCGCACAGCGGCTTCCTGGACATGCTGATCCTGTGTGAGACGCAGTTGGCCACGGTGGTGTCGCGGTCGGAGAACACGAGCCTGCCAGTCATAGGAGGTGAGATGCAAATCTCATAGTAAGCAGAATATAATAGATTTAATTAACCAGGTTGCATCAGCTCCATTCGATCATCTTCACTGAGTCAAAGAGACGAGAAGAAACGTTTTTATTATTAATTAACAGAAAGACACTGAATTATTGTGAGTTGGGGAGTTTCCCCACGTTGCCCAACTTCAAACCAAGATCAATATTTCTAAAAGAGGAGTCTGGTGGAAAATGAAAGTATGCAAGAAAGATAAACAAGTGACTCAGCTGTTTGGCTCCTAATCTGCTCGGGCACTTCCTGTGTTGCTGTCTCGGCCGTCTGGCTCTAGACTTCTTCTCTGGCTCTGGTTTTTATTGACCTTTACTTTCTCAGCTTTGCTGGAGTTCAACCAGGCGGTGCTGGTGAGCAGGAAAGATCCCGAGTCGAGGAGGAAGGCGGTCACCCAGCTCACGGAGAGGCTGACCTCTGATGGCTACTGGCCTCAGGTGAGATCCCATCGGGGTCTGTCGACCTGAGTACTTTTATTTTCTCCAGCGTACAAATATCTGATGGTGCAGTTGTTTAATAGTCGTTTAGCGTCGGAAATGTTTTACGATGTGTTTAATTTCCTGACGACAGACGTTTTCCACTTCAGTCTTCATTTCAGACGATTTCTCTCATGTACAAGTAATAACTAAAGCTGAATACAGATTATGTTTGAAAGACTGAGTCATTAATTCTCACAGTAAGGAAGTGATGGACGTTCTGAACTCAGCTGAAGCTCCTCAGAATAATCATAAACATGAATGTATTGGATTAGATCTCTTCTGTCAGCATAAGATAATCTGGATTTATTTAAGCAGGAGACGAGATGAATGATCTTCCATCTTGGCTTCAGTCTTATCTGGAAGGGAAATAAAATGATCAACAGTTACGGCTGCTTGATGCAGCATCTGAAGTTGAACTGGTCCCAATAAAAACACTGTGATGTTCAAATCTCTGCTAGATGCTGATCTTTCCAGAGGGAACCACAACTAACGGCCAAGTGCTCATCAAATTCAAACCTGGTGAGTTTTGGCAGGAGCTGATGTTTATCTGGGGAATCAGAGTTAATATTGAGTTTAGACGCCAGGAAGAGAAGCAGCCCTGAAACAGACAGACGAGTTCACCTGCTGTTTGCAGCCGTGAAGGAATGACAGGCATCAGAAGGGAGAGGGCCTGACAGGCAGCTGCAGAATGTTTACCTCCTCTGCAGCGTTTCCTTCTTCCTCTGCTGCTCTGACTCATTTTTTCTGTCTCTCATCATCAGGTGCCTTCGTCCCCGGAGTCCCGGTCCAACCTGTTCTGTTGCGTTACCCCAACAGGCTGGTGAGTAATCGTTCTGGAAGGTGGATGTGTTGATGCAACATGTCACAGGTGTGATACTACAGCTAACTGCTGTGTGTCACGTTCAGGTTTGTCACAGAGGGATAACTCGCCCCTTTACTTTCAGGAGGTTTGAGTCCAGACTGTAATTTGAGTTGAGCCGTTTTCAGACATGAACTTTAAAGAACGCAGCAGGATGTTGTCCGAGTCCGACGCGTTCACAACAACAGGAACATGTGGGGAACGTTCAGGCGAGGGGTGGAGCCTGTAGAGCAGCAGGAGGCGGGAAAGATCAGTGTTGTTGTTTACATCTCGTCCACACCGCCGTCGACGTCTTTGTCTTCTACGTGCACGGATCATTTGAAATAACTTCTAAAGGGCTTCACAGAGAAGATGTGATCGAATCATTCAAACTAAAATAAACGCTGCACTTGTTGTTTTTATCTCACGTTTCCTTGTTGCTTCTCTTTCCGAGGACGAACAACTGCTCGACACTGTTCGACTCACGGCGAAGCTGTGGTCGTGTTTTTTATTTGTTCAGCACTTTATTGTTTGATTTATGGGGTTTTTACGACTCTTCCTCAGGATACCGTTCGCTGGACATACAAAGGAACATCCTGGTGAGTTCTCATTTTCACATCTGCCGAACCAAGTTAGTGTGAAAGTGTTCGGTTCTGTGTTTCTGACAGCACAGAGGCTGAAGATTTCTACCTGAGCAGGAAGTTGACTGAGATATTTCCTAAATGAAATCTAATATTCTCTCTCCGTCCGTCAGGGTCGACGTTCTGTGGCACACCACTTCACAGTTCTACACCAACATGACGGTTGAGGTAACAAACTCATCAGAAACCTTAAACTGTCTCATCTCATTCAAACGAAGAATAACTTGACTCCTCCTGAATACGCTTGCTTGTTTTTTGGAGGTCGGTGTTTCTCAGCTCGCTCTGAAGTGACTCTGTTGACACTTGTCTTTTTTCTTGTGTTTCAGTTCCTGCCAGTTTACAACCCGTCGGAGGAGGAGAAGAATGACCCCAACCTGTACGCAGACAATGTTCAGAAGCTCATGGCCGGGTACGTTGTCACTCAGACGGTACAGAGACAAGTCGTCTCGTTGATAAATTATTTCAGCTGTCAGTCACTTTGAGTTAACGGTCATTCACTTTCCTGTTGTTTCAGGGCGCTCAGAGTCCCAGCCACAGACTACGTGATGCAGGGGGGGGTTCCTGTCAACAAACTGGGGGGTCTCTCTCTCCCACTGGAGTCTCCCGCCAGGAGGACGCTGTCCCTGCTGCACAGGAGCAGGTGAGAGAAAACCTTCATCCGTCTGGAAACAGTGGCTTTAATTCATGTGAAAATCAAATGACGGATATTTTTCCTCTTAGCCTGGAAGCATCTGCAGTGGAAGACGCACTGGACCGGATGATCGACAGGTGTCGGTCAGGAGCTCCAGGGTCAAAGGTCGGCGCAGAGGAGCTCGCCTCGATTCTCGGACTGACGGACAGAGAGACGGCCGTCAGAGTCTGCAAACTCTACTCCAAGGTACAGGCTGCTGTTTTTCTGAATGTCTGGGACGGTTTTGTTCAAACTGCTCGTAAAGAAAAAACGGGAGCAGCAAAGAACTAAATGTCCTCTTGAGTTTTTTCAGCTCTGAATCAGCTGCTGTGGGATTTTATCTGGAGACAAATGAGGCGGGTATTTGTTTGCACTGTCCAGTGTCAACAGCCTCGAGTACATTTCTTAGTCACCAGGGTTTGATAACGACATGTGAGGAATCATTGACAATCTTTTATACATTGAAAATCAGCCAGTTTATTGGGATCGCACATTTTTGTGTGTTTAAAAAAAACGAAAAACTTAAACGTTAAATGTTTTCCAGTGTCGTGTTTGTGCACGAGCACCAGACGGGTGACAATAATTATTTCTATATGAGGTTAAAACAGACAGGAAACGTGATGTCACTCTTGTGTGTGTGTTCCAGGATGAATCTGTGGATGTGGGACAGTTTTGTTTGAGTGTCTCTGCCGTCTCAGGATTCCTCAGCTTCAAGTCTCTTCTTCACAAAGCTTTCAGCGTGAGTCCTGCTGCTCCTTCATGTCCTCTCAGTCCCACGCTCTGTCATGATATCACATTCACACAATATCATCTCATGTATTTATTTATCAAATCTTGTTTTTCACAGCTGTTCGACAGGGAGGGCAGAGGAAGCCTGAGTGCAGAGGAGCTGTCGGGCCTCATGGGGGCGCTGCTGGGTTTTCCTCAGTACAACACCGCCCAGCTGTTCAAGGAGGCCTCGCATCAGGACGAGGTGACGGAAGGTGAGCGGCTCTGAATGTGGAGTTTGTAAAACTACTATAAGTTATACTTTTACTTTTACCCTCTAATTCTCCAAAGTGGTTTTCACGTTCAACGCTGCATATTACCCATGATCCTCTGCTTCCTGCACCAGAGGAGCTGCTGCTGTAACAAACTGTTCAGATTCTTCATGTTTAAAATTTGCTGCTGAACATTGGAGATAAACTCTGGTCGTTAAGAACTGATCTCAGTTCAGTTTCACTCTTCAGCTGATGGAGACTCTCAGTCACTTGTTCTCTCAGGAGATGAACCCACTCAGCAGAGTGAGAGAACAGACGCTCAGGGAGCGAAGGAGGAAACGTTCTCCACGTTCACACATCAGACTTTAAGGCTTAATAATTGTGTAATGTTGCTTTAATGGAGCAAAGAGGCGACTGACCATGTGTTTGGTGTGTGGTGACGTTTAAAGGCCCAAACATTTTAGAATCAACACATCTGCTCTGTTTCCTCAGAAAATCTGCTGCGAGTGCTGACGACCCACCCGACCTATCAGAGAGTGGTGAACGAATACCTGCAGCCGGTGGAGGCGGGCTCTCACCTGCCGTTCACTCCCCTGCCGGGGGGGAAGACTGTGAACAACAACAGAGATTTGCACCACAACAAAAAGTTTGAATGAGGATTTATTTTTGTTTCTCCAGGACGATCGGCCCCATTTTTTTACGCTACAGAAGATGAGAATCGACAAGATGAATGTATTTTATTAATGTTGAGTGAATGTTTGAAGAGCGTGTTTCTGCTCTTTTGTAAAAATATCTTCAAGAAAAAAAAAAATCTTATTTTTTGTCACTTGAAGCCAAAACATGAGTTTCCTCTTATGTATTTGAAATGATTTCTCTTTTTTTTTTAAAGGGACGAGGGATTGTGCAACAAAAACTACTCAGTAATTCAGAGTTTATCTTGTGTAAATTAACTGTTGTGTGAAATATCTTTATATTTAACGATGAATTAAACTGTGAATTGTTCCAAGTGTTTTGCTGTTTTTGGTTGCCTATAAATAATTTATTTGACCAGTGGTCTTGGTGAATTGTCCATCTTCGTCCACCTCTTATTTCTTGTCTTTGAACACGATAAAGTCTTTGTACTTTGAAGGAAACCTGCAGACTCTGAGAGACCTCCTGCAGGGTCTGTTTCTGAGAGACCTCCTGAGTCCTCCCGTTTCCCAAGCACCGGCCTTGAGATTCTTACATTTCTTGGCCGCTCTCGTTCCACGTTTAGAGGAAAGTTGCCGTGACACTGATTGTGAAATACTCCACAAACACCTCAGTGTCTTTAATATCTGTTTTTCAAACACCGAGTCTGACGAATCACTGGCATCGCTGGAGTCTGGATGGGGATTTTCCACCGAAGACGAAGTAGTAGCCACTGCGTCCTGAAGGTCATCTGTGGGTGGGTGGGTCACGTCTTTAAGGCTGGAGGACCGTGGGTTTATGTTTTCAGGGCTATGACGTTCCTCACACTCCTCTAACTGGACACTCAGAGCTGGAGGGTCCTGTGTTGACCCTTCATCACTGTCCTCAACAGTAAATAAGAGTGCTGATACGTTATTGTCCGCAGTCTCCAAATCCAAATTTAGAAGGTGGAAATGTTTCGACAACCTAAAACTGTGGTGACAACGACTGGTCGAGGCGTCGCTCAGCTGCAGTTCATCTGTTTCCTCACTCGGAGGGGAAGTTTGTCTGTCGTGGTTTGGATCATCTGTCCCCGGAGGATCCAGAGCAGAAGTCAGTTGGGTAGTTTTTGCGTAAGTCTGCAAACACAAAGATAAACACAGGTGTGAGTACATTTAGAAGTTTTTCTTACCAGGTAATAAATATTTCAAACATTAGTAGTTAGTAATTTATGCATTCTCTTGATTGTTGACCTCGGGACACAGGGGGTCAGAGACCGTCTTGTCCTCCTCCGGGGTGCGTCCTGCAGGCGACCTTTTGTCCAAGGACAGCAGAGACACTGGTGGAATAAACTCGTCAACCATCTGATCGAGCCACTCCTGGAATTCTTCTGAGACAGAGCGGTCGGCCGGACGTGGGCTGAAATAAGGAAAGAAGATGGATTCTATGTGGAATCCAGCTGTATCTTCGTTATCAGAGGAGGCCTCAGGTGAAGACGGCTGCACGGGATCCATCCTCGACCTCTCAGGCTTTGCAACTGTGAAAAGAAAAAAAGTGGATATGAGCAAAGTGTAATTTGTTCATTTCATCTTAAATATCAATGAATAAGAACATCTTCTCTTTATTCATCCGAGTCTCCTGCCCACATGTTCCTTTATTAACCAGTATTTCACTGATACCTTTTTCACGCTGCTCTCTTTTTATGTGTTTTTACAATTTTTATCTCACGTGGAAAATGTGTCTTAATGTTTTTAAATGTCACCTGCACCCTGACCTGTGGAGGACGACCTGTTGCTCCCATGTTTTCTGTAACGTGTGTTAGTGACGTGACAAATAAAACTTGAATCTGAATCTGTTCACACGCTCATAGATTTCATGAAACCTGATTTGTTTTCATCAACATCCTTGAATTATCGTCTGAGACCAAAAACTTTGTTTTACAAACTGTACACATTCAAGTGAAACGCAGCTTTAACAACCACTCAAAACAAAGTAAACGAAAGATAAAACACGTCGAAGGTGGATAAAATAATCAAGCTTACCTTTGTCACAGGAGATGATTCGTCTGCAGCCAGTGTTGTAAAAATGTGTGTGTCAGTTTGAATCTGCTGATTTTTTAAATATAAATTCCAGTTGAGTTTGTTTACTTCCAAGCAAAGATGCATAGAAACACTCCAAACCTCACAGAGTCCAAATGAAACCCAGTCAAATGTGTCACTGTTTTCTTTTTTTTTTACAGTATAGTGTCTATACATGATGTTTTATTTTACTTTAACAGTATATTCTGTATATTTTATACTTAGTGAGCTGGTTTAAACAACTCACATGATGCTAAATAATAAAATAACATGAGCTGATGCTATAAACCCAGATAGGACATTAGAAACAGACAGGCCAGTTAATGAATATGAATTCATTAAATATGTTGTGTGATTAAATCTATGACACGTGTTGATGAAGCCCATGATAAATATCTGAAAGCTCCATAAGAAATCCACTGAGTGAACCCTGAGGTGGTAACTTTTATTTTCAATGTTGAGAACAGATGCTCGAGCTCAGAAACATTTTTATTTCTCTCCTGTTGTAATAAATAAATTGTCTTTCTGGACTTTGGGAAACTTTACAGCGTGTTTCACACAGAAGAATACATTTCCCAGCATGCCCGAGGGAACCGGATATCCGCTGTGACTTCCGGCCGAGCACGGACTTTCGCCGCACGTGTGAGAGAGAAGAAGAGAAATCGCAGACGACGCGTGTTTTTCGCGATAGAAGCGAAATAATCTCGACGTCGGTTTATTTCTCCGGATCCGAGAGAGACGCTTTGTTTCCGTCGCCATGTTTCTGCAGTTTTACGTGAACGAGAGCGGGGAGAGAGTTTACACCCTGAAGGTAACGAAGTGTTTACATCCGCCATGTTTCTGTTTACTGCTCCTTCATCCAGCGTCACACTCACTTTAATGACAGTGTTAGATTACAGCCACACACACACACAGACACTGTTCCAGTGTTTCCTCAACCAAGATGTCGTTTCACTCCCAATCATCGATATTCACTTCAACTGTTTTAACTCCCTGAACACACAGACGTTTAATTAGTATTAACCAAAGGTGATTTTAAACTTGAAACTCTACCATTAAACTCACATGAGATGAGATCAAATCATATTTATTAGTCCCATGATGTGGAAACTTGCCGTATTGCAAAATAGAATCGTAAGCAAAAAAAAGAAATAAGTAAACCTACATACACATGAGGGAAGATAAAGTTTTAGGAAATATATACATTAGGAAATATGAAAAAAGGACAATACCAATATTAACTATACAAAAAATCAAGGCACTATAATATATTAAACATAAAGGCATAAATAAAGATTTAAAATAAGGGCAGTATAGTCGGCTCACAGCTCGTAGATGGATCCTGTGAGGATGAGCAGTTTACTAATCTGAACAGTGTTGGAGACCCCTGACGTTGATGATTAAACAAGCTATATTGTGATTATATAAATAAATAGATCCTTTAAGGAAAATGTCATTTATTCAGTCTCCCAGCAGGAAACTCGACTGAACTTTCTCTTTCCTTCTTTATCGCCGACAGAAGCTGAATCCTGACGGGCAGCCCACCAGCTCGGCTCATCCGGCCCGCTTCTCCCCAGATGACAAGTTCTCCCGACACCGGGTGCTGCTCAAGAAACGCTTCGGCCTCCTGCTCACCCAGCAGCCCAGACCGGTTCTGTGAGAGAGGGAGCAGAGGAGGAGGAGGAAGAGGAGGGGGGGAAATGGGATGAAGGTGAAGATGGGACTTGAGCAGAAAGAGCAAGAAAACTCCAGGCCCAACTTAAAGGGACTGGACATGTATTGGAAACCATCTGTCGTTGATGCCCAGAAACTTTTTTTTTTTGTACCTTGTTTTGTTTTCATGCTGAATAAATGATCTGTTGATGGACGGCATTCTTTTGTTGATGTGTATGAAATCTAGAGGAGACAAATTAAACAGTATTTAACCAGGAAGGTCCCTCTCGTGTTGTCCTGGTCAAGATGGGTGGTACTGAGGTAAAAACATGAAGTTTCAAATATAAATACAAGCAGGGACAAATTACACTCAGGGCATAATATATAGGAATCAGTGAATTATGAAAATTAAAAAGCACATGTTAAAGGCAATGATGTAAGAGGGTGTTGGATTAAAACACAGTCACTAGGTGGCAACAAAGAACACCTAGGGGCTATTTTCCATCAGTGTTGTGTGTATATATATTTAGTAACAAAACCCACTGAGATTTGATTAGATATACTTTATTCATTCCACAACAGGGAAATGTACTTACAGCAGCAGAAAGAAAGTGTAGTATACACTACAGAGATTAAAGTGGAAAAGGCAAAAACACAAAAAACAGACAGAAATATCTGTAACCTGCACGATAAACAAGAAAACAATCAACCTGCAAAAAAGTACTGAGGATAACAAAGAGGCATGATATAAAAAGTATTGTCATGTAAAGTGACCGTAATGTAAGTAATATTGCAAAAGTAAGTGACCATGGCATAAATAATATTGCAAGGCATAAATGAAATAAAAAATATTGCAAGGTAAGTGTATCCATGATGATATGAATAATATTGTTCATTAGAGACGTCGATAAGATGATTCTGATTCCAGAAGCTGACTTCCTCCTCGTACAGTCCACACAAGAGTTATTAATCTCAATCTTTTGATTTGTTTATTAAAAAGAGGAACTTCTCCTTAATAATGTGCTGATATTTATATATCTGACAAGTTTTGTGCACATCATTGAAATGTGTTAATATCAAACCTGAGTGAAACTCAATCAAACTCTTGTGTCTATGTGTAATATCATTATTATTCGTGGTTCAGATTCTGACTTCCGGACTACATTTCCCATGGCAGCAAGGGCAGCATGTCTGTCAGTGCGCATGCGCGGGGCAGCCGTTTGGACTACGGCAGCGGACGCGGGACACACCGGGCGCCCTCGCTTGTTTTTGTGTTCGGCTCGCCGGGACCCAAAAGTGCCGAATGTCTCCAGATGTGAGAAGAACCCGCCGCGCGGAGGGAGCGCTCCTCACCGGGAACCAGAGCCAGGTATGCGCCGCTGTGTGTGTCCGCCGTGCGGGGGGCTCGGAGCTCCGCGGCCGTGGAGGGGAGGGAGGGAGGGGGATGAGTGCGGAGCTCCGCGGAGCCGACGGGGGTTGTCAGCGGCGCGGCTAGCCGCCGTTAGCCTCGGCTAGCCGCGGCTCCCCGCAGCACGCAACCCCCCCGCCCGCACGCACACCGGACCCCGCGGAAGCGATGCGTCGCTGCCGTCACACACTTCTCATACACGGCGTGTGTTTCACCCTCAAACCCGACACCCTGTCCCCGCGGAACAGGCTGCCCACACCACCGGGGCGTCCCGCATCTGCTGCGCGCCCCTCGGGTTCCTCTCCGCCGCTTCGGACGCGTCAAAGCGCCGCCGGGTTCAACGCCAGACGCCGCGTTTCCTTTTGTCGTGAGAAGCCCCGAGCACCGGGAGGCTCCCCTTCAGATTCACGACCCGATATATCGAACGGAGCCTCTGGGCGAGGAGCCCTGGTAACACGGGGAGCAGGCGAGGGACCGGTTCAAGCCAGAATTATTATGGTTAGCTTAATTGGCTTAGAATGGGAAGTGAGCGGCGGCTAACAGGCGAACCTCCCCAGCTGCTGGCCCCGAACACCGGGTCTGACTCACTGTTCGATACCGGTGCAGATCTGATCGGTTGTACGTTTGTCCAGAGATTCAATCGATCACATGAGACAGATGCAGGACAGAGAGCAGGACCACTCTGACTCCTGGTATGATATTTATCAGTGTTTGTATCTTAGTTGATGACACAGACTTATTCGGTTATTGTTTTTGTCCGTATATAATATTCATTGGGACCATGCTACCTCCCTGTTTTTGATCAATACTCCTTAAAGTATGATTTTATATCAATAGGAACAGTATTGCCATAATGAAGTACTTTAAACACCCCTCTACTGCAAGTGAGGACTATTTTCCCTCATGATTATTTTGGAGTTGATTGTTTCATGTGTAAAATATTGAAAAATGCCCCCAAAGCCCAGATATACCTTTTTTTTTCAATGTCCCATTGTCTCACATCAGTGATGCTTGGACCAGGGCTCGGCAACAAAACAATATCATTAATTATCACAACGCAGTTTTAGGTGATAGCAATACAACACAAGTACAATAATATCGCTGTGAGCAGGTTTAACACAGAATCGATTTACCTGAGGTCTGTAGACTCAGATAAAACATTTCAGGGCTGCAAATGATGATTATTTTCATGATTAGTAAATAAAATGTCAGTTTAAATGTCAGGATTTAAATCATGTCTTTCTGTCACATGACAGTAAAGTGAAAATCTTTGGATTTTGGACAAAACGAGATCTAAATAACACCTTGTGTTCGGGGCTTCTGGGGCATGAAACATATAACAGGCACGTTGTCAATGTAAGTGAGCAGAACAAAAATCTTCTGAGATGCTTAAATAAGCAGAAATCAAGGCTGAGTTACCAGAGAGGAGAACAAAATGTTCTGCTCACCCTCCTGCTGTAATAATAATAGTACATGTTCGGATCGAACGTGGACAGAAAGTGAGGACTTTTCAGCGGCAGTGCAGTGAAAGTAATAAAATAACCCCTGATGTGGTGCCAGGGGAGAATGGATTTCAATTAGTTGATGATATAGATTCTTGTGAGGCGAACAGAACAGTGTGGTTACTGATCTGAGATGAATAAACGAAGGTCCTCAGTTTGAAGCAGGAGAAGAAATTCCTCTGGTTTCTCTCTCAGTCTGAAGAAATGCCTGTTGAGTTGTTCTGGAGACAAATTGCCTGAAGGTGTGAATGTGTTTGTCTGGACTAATAATCTCTCCTGGGTGTTTCTCAGCCTTTCACACACAATGCACGCTAAGATAGGACATGCCCCCCCCCCCCCCCCCCCCCCCCCCCCCCCCCCCTCCACTGAGTCGGCTGAACGTAGCTGGAATCCTGTGCAAAGGAACTCATTAAAGACGACGAGCGTCCTCCATCTTCCCCACCTTGCAGTCCG